ATATCAAAACATGAATAATTTCATGCTTTGCTACTGCAATGTTATTTTTTGTTGCCATGACAATGAATTAAAAGAATTGCAATGAAAGAGGAAATAAACAAGAAATGAAAAATTAAATGAGAATATGAAAACATCATGAAAGCGCAACAATAGTTAATCTGGAAATATGTTTATTTCTAGTACCCAACACGAAAATAAGTTTGCTAATATTCGATTTTATAAGTTGTAATACACTCAATAAAATTACTCGATTGTGATTGGGCAAGAGGAGTACAATTAATGTGTCATAAGTGTGCTCTTCAAGCACTTTTTTTTTAAACCTGTATTTTCTCAAAGTTCAAATATTCATAATAAATGGAAGGTGTATGTAGTAGATCCCTTGCCAAATAAAAAAAAAAAAATATTTATTTCTGTGTCATTGTAGTTTGGTTAGGACGGTTATTGTTTTTTCTTGTTAAAAAAAATGATAGAAGAAACGATTACATTGGATATTCTTTTAATACCTTTGACAACAAGCTCCAAACTTCTATTTTGACCAAACCCCACAGTATTGTACGATACACAGGTGTAGTTTTTCTTGCCTGTGTCATTAAATGACACACTAAACACGCCACTAATACTGTTATAATGGATCTGACTTGTGTTGCGATACAAAAAGTATTTAGCAGGAGGCTTGGCATAGGATGTACAGGAGATGGTGGCATTACTTCCACGACAAAAACCTGTCTGTTTTGGAGAAATGCTGATTGATGTAGATTTTGGCTTGACTAAAAGGAAATCCAAAGGCATATATTTTAATAAACAATTTTTTATAATAATGAACAAAAATAAAACAAACAAAGAAGCAACAACAAAATTATAAGCACACATAATCTAGCGATATGGTGAATTTTCTTATCATGGATGAGTATTACAAAACAAAAAACAAAAAACGTATGGATAAAGTAAGCTATTTTACTGTACCTTTTAAAATGACACCGAGTGTTCCTAAACTACATTTCGCCAATAGTAACAATGTCCAAAATTGCAAAGGCGCGTCTTGTCTCTTACTTGGAATATAACATATTTCAATATAAACATGTCCCTTATATCTCGTCTCGTTATTGCAGAGATCATTCACCCAATCCCCTATAGACTTTTGCAAAGTCCATCGCGGTATCCTTCTTATTTCATGCGCGCTGAATAAAGCCCGTCCAATCCAACCAGATCATATCACACGCACTGGACGCGACTTCGACGCTCGCTTTCTTTTCAGACTGGATTTCATCTTGACTCTGTTAGCCTCAGACAGGTCGACTTGGATTAAGTCTAAATCCCCGATAGCGTGTAAATTTCACTTGACAGATGTATTATTTGCATTATTATTATTATTTTCTGCAGATAATACATTTGTTATGAAATTCACTAAAGGTTACAAAGTACGTTGGAATATAGTTTGCTTTAAAAGGGGGGGGGGGGGGGGGGGGGGGATTAGGAGTTTTTATTTTTGGTTTACAAATTCTATAATAAAACAATTATTGAACTCGGTTTTGGCACGATATCGTAAATCATCAGGACCTTGACATGTGTTAGTCAACAGTCCCTGCCCTTGATAATTTACATAATATCATGATCACTTCTGAATCTTTTGTTTCCAGAAGATGTTTAACCGTTTAACATCCCTGTGGGTGAATAGTGATGTGGGAAATAGACCCTTGCACGTGACGTCAAAGCAGCTCCATCTGGGGGACAAAACAAAAGAATTCCAGTCTCCTGAGAACTGGAACGTATTGTTTTATCCCCTAGATTGAGTTGCATTTCAAAGTGCTGCCAGGGCAGGGGTTTATTTCGACTACATTTCCCTCGTCAATTAATAATCATGAGGCATGTTGATCTCCTCGACCCAGTAGAACTTTTTAGACACGCAGTCCACACGTATCCGGTTATTTTTGAACTTGAATTTTTTTTACCGCTTTCGTACCGTTTTCGAATCACATTTTCGTCCGTCCATACGTAAAAGTGTTTGAAAAGTTGCGTTTTCGAGTGGCGTATTCACCGGATACGTGTGGACGAAAGACCCATCTATCAAGAAACAATTCCATGTGAAGGGGTCTTTATACTATCTACTGACGCTAAACAAATACTGTAAAGTCGTGCATACGCTTTAGAATTCATTTACCGGTTCGTGGACGGAACCGATAAGGCAGAACTAAGCAGATTTATGTGATGAAGTTGTTACATGATTCAAGTTGCAAAAATTTCGACATTCTGCGTTGCGATTTTTTCAAGCTGAATCAAAAGGTTGTTACGCGTTGCCGAATCAGAAAATCGTTGAACGTCAGTGGTACGTGACACGGTATCTCGAAAACTTGTCTTTGAGAATCTTCTCAAAAGTAACTTGAATGCGAGGCCAACATAAAAATACAAAAGAAATAACGTTTTTTCTCGATGGAATTTCGGTCATCGGCCCTAGGCCCCGGGTTTTGTATGGCTTATCTTATACAGGGCAAAATTACTTGATCAGCTGATTGACTGACGAAGGAGGGCTTTTTTCCATAATTCGAGGCTTAATTACTAGAAAATGATTGGTAGTTCAGTTGCTTAGCAACGCTCATAAATTGTAAACTCTTTTTCTTTTTTGTAAGTCGAAATGGCTTCATGTTTTGCATTGGCAGACGAAGGAACCATAAGAAAAACTAAAAAGTCCAAGCGAAAATGAAAACACTAGAAAGAGTACAGGTGTCTGGATAAATGTTTAACGTAAATGGGCCTCGGAAAGACCACTCAAGTAGTCCCAAATGTGTACAACTTCACAACCTGCAATATGTCTTTGAATGTCTCGGAAATAAGCTCAATTCAGCACAATAATCTTGGTCTGGGCCCAGTTGCATGAAGCTCTCTTAAGATGAAAAAGCTCAAAAACACTCGTAAGTATTGTCTTACTACAATGGCCTATTGTTTTGGAACAAATACTTACGGATGCTGTTATCTTAAGAGAGCTTTATGCAACCGGGCCCTGGACTTTAAACGGCTTCTTCCTTTATATTCCGATTCAGACTAAAAATTTTGTTGAACTTTGTCTATCTTGCCAAATAATCATTGTTTAAGCTCAGTGATCGATGGTATTCTTTTGTACAGGAAAAAGCCTTAAAGTATTATTGTCCAAAATTTGCTTTACAATAGCTTTACACTATTTCTCGCGTTTAATTGGTTATTTTTTATTATCAATTCTTCGATTGCACGTTACGTCATCGCGGCCTCTCGGGGGAGCGTTGGTGCCATTTAACAAAAGATTTCTCATTCGTATCCACTGTTAACGGCACCACAATGGCCGCCATGCTTTTGTCTTTTGACTCTCTTGGGAATGCTTGAAACCCATCAATAAGAAGACAGGCAGATAAGCTGACGTCAACGAGCGCGCGTTCTTTTCTTTGATCTTTTTGATCACTGAACGAGAAATTATGCTATGAGATTTCAAGTCCTCCCTATCCATCCCCTCAAACATAACAAAACACAAAGGACTTGGGAACTCAGCTAACTTCTAAACCACAGCACGTGGTAAGGCAAAGGATGGACATATAGTTTATACGAATAATAACCCGCTAGTGTTAATAAACGATGATATGCATTGTTGTTCTTATGCAAGGATACTCATGGGCTAATACCAATGTTATCGGTATACTGGTATGCTGATAACGTTGTAATTGAGTACTATAACTATAAGATGATCTTAGGGTCACGATTCTCTCACTACCCAACTCGTACGGTCGGCCGGTCGGTTAATCACGATCAAGGCGGGCAGGCAGGCCGACAGGGTTGTGGATTGATTTAATTTTCCTCTAAGTTTATTTTTAATTCAAAAGACAGGGGTCAATGGCATGCCAACTTCAACGGTTAGTGTCAAATATCATTCTTACGACTTACAATGCACGGTGACCTTGCGTGTACAATTTCCAGAACGTCCTAAGCTATTTCGAACCAAACAGTGGTAAATTTTTTTGTCCGTCCTGGAAGCCCTGTACTGAAGGACTGAAGTACCAGGATGTGTAGTGCCATTAGGATAGGTCCAAGAAAACTCATTCACTGGCGGTTGTCCTTTTCCAAAGCATGTCAAAGTTACTGACCCACTTTCATTGACGATAACATTTGGCAAATCTGGAGATATGGTACAACCAACAGGATCTGTATTACACAATAAAATAGCATTTTAGTGGTACATAAAATGTTTTCAGTCAGAGTAGAAATAAGAAAAAATAAATAAAACCACTACACTGAAATATATACTCCCACAACAGAACCGAAGGATGGTATTACAGTGTTTCCATCTGCTGCGTTGGACTAAAACGAATTTTTAGATTCTAGACGTCGCTGAGGACGATATTCCAGGAACGCAACTTCTCCGTTGGAACTTCGCATGTTTTGTAAGCACCCTTATAACAATCAATTTGCTTTTTTTAATATAAATAAATATTTAAATAAAGCAGTTTAGAATTATGGACGTATATGCCACGCCATTATACATACTAGAAAAGTCACCAAGGTAACAGACACCGAGAAGGAATATAGCAATTAAAATTTTCTTTTTCAAACTTTGAAAAGATAAACCAGTCGAATAACCGGGATGGTGATAGCTCAGAGTGAAACCGCGCTTTTCGTGGAGGATACAAACAAATATTTGTCGCATATTTGCACAAGAAAATAAGACATAAATGATAAAACGAGTAACTGCAGTTTACTTACATGCAACTATTACACTCGAGGTCCTGCTGGAATCACCCAAACTATTTTTAGCAGTACAGGTATAGTTTCCTGTATCTTCTAGTGTTGCGTTAATCAACACCACTGTTCTTCCATTGTCTTTGGTCAGCGGTGTTCTGTTTGTGGTGGACGTCCAAGAAAAGGTCGGTTCAGGCTCGCCTGGAGCAGAGCAATTTATTGATCCGTTTTGGTAGTTTTCAATTATGACTAACTTCGAAGTCACAGCCACCGGAGGATCTGATAAAATATAAATATAATTATTTGAAAAGGTAAAGGAGCAACACACAAATAAAGTAGAGTTTCTTTTGCTATTAACAATTACCGCGTCATTGGTTCACTTTTAATAATTGACAAAACAGTATATATGGCACAACTAACAGGATTTGTCAGCATTACACAATGAAATGAGAGCTATACATGTCATATATAAAACTCATCAGTGAGTTACTTACTAGTCAAAAATGACTAGACAATGTAAGTCTGGAGCCATATACAATTCGGTTTAAACATAAATGGCCGCATGGAATTGGGGTAAATACCGCTAATCCGGTGTCAATGAGTAGAATGAAAAATTTGAACAAGCTGCCAATTGGAATGAGGCAACGGGATGTACATAAAGGAGAATGAATAATCCTTCACGCTGCTTTATTTACTTTAGATAAAACATATACTGGTTTAAGTGACGGCCTACTATTGAACGTTCGGTTTTAGTCTACGACAATGATGTGCTCGCACACAAAAACCCCCCAAACCAGATAACTAAGCTGAATCACTTTTTAAAATAAAAAGGCATTTTTTTCGATATCTTCCTCTTTATAAAAAAAACAAAGTATTGATAAAGTTTGAAAAAATGGCACGGGTATTACTCGTAGGAAAAAAACGGAAAGTGTAAGTTTATGCGTTTTTGGCACTCGTTTTGAACAAAAATTGTCAAGCAAAATATCAGTAGAAAAAACATTTTTATCGTAAGTAAGTACCAATCGGGAGGAACGGAAGAAGAAAAGAAAGGACGTAGGAAGTAGGAAAAAAAGATCACAAGAGAATGGATTTTGAAAAAGTACGATAAATTGTCCTCATGGAAAAGAATTAAAATATATGGGTCGATAAAACTACAACTAATCCTATTTTATCATTATTTATTGAATGATAAATTAATTACAAACTCATCTCTCCCCTCCCTACCCATCAAAGAAAAAAAGAACGAAATATGAGTTTTTCAAGGTTTTCTGGGGTGGGGGATAACGTCAAATGAAGGCTTGATTACTGATGACCTTATGATTTTATTTTTCCTTTTCCGTTTCCTTTTTCTCAAAAATTTGTTGATATACGCTTTTGTTTTTAATCGTAATTATCTCGAAAATAACCGCTTTCCATATTTGAAATCACCATTAAATTTGGGTTGAAATAATCGTAATAAACAATGTTATGGATTGTTTCAATTTAGTAGACAGTCTCCTCAAAGACAAATGACAAATGAATGGCACAGAACTCTGAGTTACCTATATTATATATGTTCTCCCAAATCAAAATCCAGATTTCAAATATCAATTCAAGACTAATATGCAATATCTAACTACATAATAAATGCATCAGCTTACATTGTACAGTCACGTTACTTGTGCAAATACTCCGATCACCAAAACCATTATACACAGACACCTTGTATGTCCCAGTATCTTGTCTTGAGGCAGTAAATGTCAGTCTGCTATTGGCAGTCAGTCTACTTCCATTAGGATGAGTCCAGATGTACTCATAAACAGGTGGGTATCCTGTGGTGGTGACGTTTAGTAACACATTGTCTGTTTCCTTAACTGTTGTTGCATCAGGATGTATGGTACACGATGAAGGAACTGAAATTGTTAAAAGAAACAAGTAAAATCGATGTTCCAGTATTGATAAAGTAAAATAAGAGATCAACCTCCTTATCCCATCATCCCTTCTAAAATAAAGAAACAGAATTATACCACTGTTTTCATTGCTAAGTGCATATCCAATAAATTGTTAGATTACACTGATATAGGCACTTGGGGACCATGAGAAGGTACATGGAAAACTATTTTAACAATATATCTAATTGAAGGTAGTGTATCAGTGACCTTGTATAATTGACAGGTTTTATGTTGCGGCTATTCTCTTGATAAGCGCATAGCAATGAAAACAGTAAGTGGTAAAATATCTACAACTCAGCACATGCTAAACTAAGGGAAGTACATTTAAATGAATAATACGGTATACCACTACGGATGGTAAATACCATGACTAACACATACAAATGGAATTCAGTGGAGGACGAGCCACTTTGTGGAAGTGTTACTGTTAAATATCACTGTTTTTCTTATGCACCTATACTTTGAAGCAAGGATACACTGATGAGCTAAAGGACTAATATCTTGATACACTGATATAATGGTGTACTAAAATCCAATGTGCCTTATTATACAAAAAGACCGTTAAAGTGCCTATGACACATCTGAAAATATTCTCGGTACAAATTCTACATAATGTGAGCTGTTCAATGACCAAAAAATGTCATAGTTTGAGTGATGCATCTTGATGTTCATAAAGGTTTTATCCTTGTCATACAGTCCTTCGACTAAACGTTGTCGTTGATCGGATCATCCCTACGCCCCTAGACCGAGAAGGAAAACGGGTAAATTACCCGGATATTGCGTCATCCAAACTGCTCGCCAGTTTAAATCTTCGCTGTATGCTCGAGGCATGGTTTCAGCAAATTAAATGGGATCGAAAACAGCGAGCTCAAGACGTGTTAGATAACATATAAGGCAGCTAGTAACTGTGAATTAATTATCCCCATGACCCTTTTCGGTCTAGGCGCGTAGGGATGAAGCCGATCAAACGACAACGTTTAGTCAAAGGACTGTATGCTGATGGTGACGTCAGGGGAGTCATCATTTAATATACAAAACTGAACTAGTACAGATAAATTTGCAAAGCATGATTATTGTTTCACCCATGGCTATGATAAGAATTATTGCTAATTAGTTCCCACACAGCAAGTATTTCAAATTACAAGGAACAAAAGATAAGCACAAATGACTTCCCTAACGTCACGGTCATTAGCATATGACAAGAACAAAACTTTAAAACATCAAGATGCGTCACTCAAACTACAAGTGGTTGTTGGTTATTGAACAGCTTACATTATGTAGAATCTGTGCCAAGAATATTGTCAGATGTGTCATAGGCACTTTAACACAAACTTTCAATGAAATAGAGTTCCCCTACTTATTTGGAAACATCAAATTAGATAGCTGCAAGGGGGGTTCCATATTTCATAGGTGTTTATGATCAGATAGCCTGCTTCAAACAGCCTGTTTTTTGTGGGGATTGGAGAAGAAGAGAGGAGGGGCCGGGGAAGAAGAAAGGAGTCGAGAGGGCCTGCCTCCAAATACTCCAAGGCCCAGTATTTTGCATATATGCCCCTTGATTTAGATTAATTTCCTGTTACATATCACTGCCAAAACAAACCAATCAAAGTTAACCGGGAATGATCCCAACATAAACAAGCACGGTAGGAAGAACGGCGGTCAAAATGCCAGATAGGGATTGCCGAAGTCTGTAAATGTGGCTTTGAAATACAGTTTGGACATTTCAATAATATAATGCATGCTATATATAAAAGCCACATCAAGATTTAATATATCTTCTGTAGCCAATTCAGATAAGCCAAAACTACATGTTAACTCCAGATCGTCTGGTGCTAGTTCAGGCGAGAGGAAATTTTCCCGTGTGAAAATCTCCAGTACATGAAAGATCTATGAAAAGCTTGTTTGGCAAGAAAATAAAGATCCTGCAAAACATTCCTGTACTCTCGAAGTCCTAGACAAACTAAGCATTCATGGCTTAAAAACTTGCGAAGGACAAACATTCCACAAAACTCGTTAAAAGTCGTTATATAGTTCATCCAAACGGTAATGCTGTTGTTCGAAACCCAAATAAATCCTGTAGGTAGAATTCCAACTACGGCTTACATCTTGCCCAAAATCTAGATTGTTTATAGTCGTCTTTTGCTCTTCCTTTAACAAAAATCTTAACTCAACATTTGATAAAACACTGGAAAAAAAATATTCGATTTATACATGTATACTTTCTTCGTCGTCAGTCAAGATGCCTTCATTCTGATACAGAACTTGATATCCTTGAACTTGATATCATTGATGCATGGCCACTTGGTGATTTGCACGATAGTAATTCTTGTCCAATCAGATTCTACATTCAAATTTTTAACATAGAATATGAAAAATACTGAGCCTTGGAGGCAGGCCCTCTCCTTTCCTCTTCTCCCTCCCCTCCCCTCCTCTTCCCCAATCCCCTCGCAAAAAACAGAGGGCCGCTATGCAGACTAATGCTCAGGGTAAAGGTGGGTAAATCCATAGGTGACTAATTACATTATAAGGCAACTGAGAAATGAATGAACCAGAACATAAATTATCCCAAATGCAATTAATATATAAAATGGACAATTACTGACAGAGCAGACACAGTATGGACGCACTAAGCTAACAAGGACTACTTGAAGAAAGTTAATCAATCACGTTATAGGGTGAAAACCAGAGGCGTACCAAGGAGTTTTGTAAGGGGGGGCTTTGAAAATAAGACTGACCATGAAGTTCCTTGCTATTCCTCTTGTGGGCTCACAATTGCCTTATTTCACTATGACGTCACTGCTTGTTTATGTGGGGGATAGAATCGCCAAATCCAATAGAAAATTCAACAAAACTTGCTCCTAGCGAAAAAGTTTAATCTAAAATGGCCTGGTTTTCAGATATAATATGTGTTAATATATACTAAAAAATATTCTGAGCTTTTGCTGGCTATTCTACTTCTCTTTGTGGATTGATGCGGGTTTTAGAAGAATTTTTGGTGAATTTGCATTGGTTTGACCCCCTCCAACGACCATGATCCTTTGTGTTTAAACAATAGTTTGCTTTGATGTGACGCAATAGTGAATTAGGGCAATTGTAAGAGAAGGGGCAAGATGATGGCAATTTTAATCAAAACAAGTTTTACTGTGGAATTGGCATTTTGTTTCATAAAGACACGGAAAACAGTATCAGTGAATGTGTTTACTTATTTATTTATTCAGCACATCGATTACAAAACTTTTTTTTTTTTTTAATTTTGGTTGTAAAGGAGAGTTTCCGGAACCCCTGGAACCTCCCTTGCGTACGCCCCTGTAAACAATGGAACCATTCTTGAACAAATCATAAGCAAGCAGAGAAGCATATACATTTGATGTTATCAACAACCATTGGAATAAGTGATTGTGATTGGCTGAGGACAATATGATACTGCTTTTGCTCTCTCCTGATTGGCTAAAGTCTTTTCTTTGTGTCCACACAGTAATAACTGATCCACCATTAACGATAAGAGATAAACATACACCAATTATGATCAAAGAATATACTGTCTAATAACTGATATTACATGCATTATTACTTACATTGTACAGTGATGTGGCGTTTGCAAATACTCCTATCACCAACACCATTATACACAGACACCTTGTATGTTCCATTATCTTGTCTTGAGGCAGTAAATGTCAGTGTGCTATTGGCGGTCAGACTACTTCCATTAGGATGAGTCCAGATGTACTCATAAACAGGTGGGTTTCCTGTGGTGATGACGTTTAGCAACACGTTGTCTGTTTCGTTAATTGTTATATTTTTATCAGGATGTATTTTACACGACGAAGGAACTGAAATTGTTAAACAAATCAAGTAAAATCATGAGTGATTAACTAAGTGATTAACTTCCCTCATGACCGCATTCACCAACCCCTCTCATCTGTCACAAAACATAGAATTTGGAACATTAAGTTACAGAATGCATATTTATTTAGTATATTCATCATCATAAACTATAGAAAAAAAGTTTTAACTTTAAAGTTAGTCAGTCAGTCAGTCAGTCAATGACAATATTGCATTATTTTTTAAAGAATGATTAATGCAAATTCAAGGACATTTTCATAAAAAATCAAGGACCTATCCCTTTTAAAGGACAATTATTACAAAAAAGTCAAATTCAATTAGTTTCCAAGGAAATGTCAAATTCAAGGAGTTTTCAAGGATCTGGGTGCACCCTGAATTATAAGACAGTGTTAGTGTTACTGAACCTTACAATCATTGTGACAAAAGTCTATAAGGTTACAAAGATAATAAAAAAGAAGAAAATGAAGAAAACATAAAATAAAGAAAATTAATCTATATCAGTGGAGGAAAACTGTCATTTTTTTCTAACTTTTAAAATAGAGATACGTCATGCATGTAGCATATTCCATATACTGCTTGACAAGCAAAGAATATATAATTTAGATAACACTCTTAGATACACAGCACTGGTATCTTTTACAGTAAGAGCCGACATGTTATTTTCAATTGAATTATTCAAATTGCATGCAACATCCATCGAAGTATTAATATTGCCTTATAATTTGCATATGAAAACGATATAACAGTAGGATAGATACAGGTCGTCTTACTTAAGGTGAAAACAATATCAACCCAACTGTAAACATGAAATATTTGTCATAGCAGCTACGTTACCTTTTAAAATATAAAAGTATATGCTATATCTTGAGGTTCAAAGTGATAATTCATGTTTTTTTAGTTATTAATAATGTCTGTTGATTATAGTTCACCATTATTTTGATGCCTTCCATGTATAATTTAAAATACTCATAGTTTCATGCGATAATTAATAATTTTATCATACAGTAAGACATTGCTTGATTTGCATATGAAAGAGGCATAAACAGTTGGACACCAGTACAGCTACTCAAGATTAAAACAATAATCCAGCTATATACAAAAAGGGAATATTTGTCATGTTAGATCATCATCTTCAATAATATGCTACCTGTATGCCTTTGATCAATCAATCAATCATCAATCAATCAATCCTTTATTTGTTAAAGCAGGTTAGGCTTACAAAATTTTAAAACAAATATTGCATCGACAGCCAACGGCTGATGTGGACCTGCTATATATATATTATATAACAATATGATGAAATATAATAACCACTACTATAATCTAAAGAATTTAAAATGTAAAGGACTGGTGTAAGATTGAATTAATCATAATTAAAATCTGAACATACACCTACTTGGAAGAATGCCACCACAGGAAGAAAGGGGACACAAGCAATCCAGGCCACCATCCCCCCATGACAGAGCCCCCACAAGCAGGTGTACACATTATATGTAAATTAAATAAATAATGAATAAATAAAATACTAAAATAAACTTAAAAATAGGCTTAATAATAAATAAAATCATCCTTCTTATTTGAAACAATGCTTTCTTAAGATTGCTTTCAACCCTTCTTTACTGATAGTATTAGTAAGTTTGACTTTCTTATTTATAAAATTCCAGATATTTGGACCCCTATATTGTAAAGAACTCCTGCCTAATTCAGACTTTACCCGAATGATATTTAATTGATTACTGAATCTTGTTGATCTAGATGATTTAGGTGCACCCTGAATTATAAGACAGTGTTAGTGTTACACCACCATCAACATCTAGCTAGCGAACTTCATTTTAGGCATATCTTATTTATGAAGTTGGGTGAAGTTAATAATGACAGTGACTACCCTACTAATATATATAACTACCCATATTAGTGTCAAATGAGAGGTCATATTAAATTCCATCAACAAATCATCGAAGCCATTTTTCTTTCTAACTTTTTTCTAACTTTTTTGATAGTAATAGAAAAAATTCGATGGTTTGGGGTGATATGTCCTCTTAATTGCCATGATATGACATCACAAGTCAGTTAAAAAATCAGTTAGAAATCAGTTATGTATCCACTCGGCTATGCATCATGAGTATATATAACATTTTGTCCAACTGTATGTTGATGTCATATTGTGGTAAATAAGAGCACATACCATGCTGAAACATCAGAAATTTGTCACAGCTGCTTTTATTATATCATCACAAAATTCATTATTGCCAGCATAAATGGGCATCAGAATACTTAAGTGCCATTAGTTACATGTAACCATCAGCTATTTATTTTAGGATTTTAGAACTTTAGGATTTTGTTGACATTTTGTAGAAACTGCAAGTAAAAACATTATGTAGTAGGTATGGAATTGCAAAATGAAAGAGTGAAAAATGGCTGATCGAGATATAGGTAATTTAGTGCAAAAGCATCTCATACATTTTCTTTTATTTCCAATTATTATCCAACTATTATCCAATACAAAATAAGAGAACATGCATGGGAATGTTTTGAGATTAATTATGCACAATATCTTTTTTTCTATAGCTCCTACCAACAAATAGTTGGCAGAAATGTAGGCAATCTATGTTTTGGTTTCTTCAAATTATATAAACATTTCAAAACAGAATTGCAAAATTTTGATTCTGATGATGTCACACTTCAGTACTCTGTTGTAAAACATGATATCAAAGAATAAATGGGTGACAATGGTATCATATAGTACCTCATACCTCGAGTTGCCAGTCAAAATGGAATTGGGGAGGGGGGTGGGGACTGTGGAGGAGGGAAGAGAAGAGAGTGCCTGCTATGAAGGCCCAAATTCCTCATATTTCACATTCATATCGTGAACGTAAAATTCCCATTGGCTAATAGTTACATCATGTATGTGACTTGTAGTTTGCAGCTTATACCATGACCTTATGTTTGTAATGAGAAATGTGTTGGCATCGTGTTGAAGGAAGACTGCAAAAATGCCATGGAATTGTTGTTAGACAGAAAGGATGTACTAGTGCTATTGCCTACAGGTTTGGCTTGAGCTCCATTTTTCATATCTTGGCCATGCAACTTCTGCTGCAATGAACTGTGTCGGTTTTCTTCATATCTCCACTGGTTAACATTACACTCAAGTTCTAGGTCAAGTTATCGAGTTGATCGAGTTCTAATTGGTAACAACTCACACAGGAATCATACAAGTTATTTTAAAACGTTATTTTCATCACTCAGGAATTAAAGATACCTTTGTTTAGATGAGTAAAGCAATTCTATTGAACGCTGTTACCTTGATGGCTGACCTAGCATTAAAAGACTTTAATTTCCAAGTTTTAAAAGTTTTTAGTTGATTTGAACCAGTGTTTAGCGAGTGAGTTTGACGCTATTCATGCAATAAAAGCACGCTGAAATTCAGAGAAAAAGGACTACACTTGGCAAAACTTAAAGAAAACCTCTTGTGAAATACTGGTATTTAATGTGTTCATGGTTTATTTTAAGATAATAGACTAATAAATCACAAAAAAAAGCAAAATTGCATTATAAATATTATAGTAAGCAAAAGATGAAATAAGAACAATTGGGCCAAAAATACTTCAAGTTACAGCTCCTTTGCTCCCTTCTGCTGCCAATGGCTTGAACAAATTTGTGCAGGATTGAAGGGAATTTCCAAACTTTATAAGAAGACTTATTTCACACAGAACAGCAATATAAACTTTAAGGTCATTTTCAACCAATTTTTTTTTTTTTGTAACAACACAAAACCAACAATCTTGGCAATTCCTCTCACATGTGAGTTGGACAGTTCTAATGTCAACAAATCATTATATTGAAACAACTTTTGATTAGATTATTTTCGTTTTGTGTTTGAATATCGAAAACAGAGTCTTCATAGCAGCAGCTCCCTTCTCTTCCCTTCTCCCCAGTCCCTCTCCCATTTCTCTTCCCCTCACCCCTCCCAAAAGCGCCATTACACAGGCTAATACGAAGGAGACTTATTGAAACGTAGTTAGGCTACGTTCATAATGTATGGCAGAGTGGGAAGGGGGACAGGTGAAAATTTGAAATGTCCAGAATAATTCTCAACACTCCCCTTAAAGTTATGCAAAAAATACGAACCCCCTTAAGCAAGGTTTGTAGCTTCTTCCAAAAATTGTGCATCCCCCCATTTTTCTGATAAAAATATGCCCATCCCCCCTCAGAAAAATAATGGAAATTCCTACAATTTTGCAAGTATCTATCAAATATCAAATTTATATTTGGATTCATCATTACTAGAGATATATTTAAGGTATTACTTGGCTAAAGGGAAAAAAGTCTGTAAAATTTGACCAGTGAGGTGATTTCATTCTGCTTGTGAAAAATTATGAAGCCAAAAACACACACACAAAATCACACTCACAAACCCTTAAATATTATAGGCATTTCCTAAAGTCCTTATACTTATTTCAATAAAGTTAGTCACTAAAAACCTAGAAAGCTGTGATCGCTGAAGATCATGGGAAATATTTCATATCCAACAAGTAAAGCTTTTGACACAAACTGTAGCAGTTGAGGATGCTTAGAGGAGGTTAACTTGTAACTGGTAAAAGATTTCAAGTCCATCAACAGTTACCTAAGTATCAAGTCAGGGCTTCTGACAGGATGCGCGGGTGCGGACCCGCATAATTCGCCTTTTTCCGCACAATCGAACGATTTCCGCATAATCCGGCAAAATCCCGCATAATTCGTCAAAAATGTAAAGAAAACTTAATAATCAAGAAGAAATGTATTATAATGTTTTCTTATTTTGATGAAATTACGAATTTTTTATAGTTTACTTACCAAATTTCAAGCAATAAACAGCGTTTGAAACTGTATATTGAATCATACGTGTAATGAAAAGGAACAAGGCGTTCTTAGTTAAAAACCGTAAAAGAGCCTGGTAACTAGCCTTAAATAAAACGTACTCTCTGATTGGCTAGAAGTGTATTCGCAGACAAGATTTTCGCGCGTAAAATAATATTTATGCGGGATTTTTTTCCGGATTATGCGGAGAAAATGGCAAATTATGCGGAATAGTATGCGGAATAGTATGCGGGATGACGTCACAATCAAAACAATTTCTGAATTTTTTTTTATACACTTTTTAAAAAAATTTTGCTTCTTTATTTAGCTCCAAACTTTGTTTAACTAAAGTTTTACGCAATTATTTACAGTTTTACCTTGATTTTGCTTCTTTATTTGACACTGGCCTTGTTTATTTCAGGTTTTTAATCCACACGTGTAATCGTCATGTTTTTCGCACTACACGCAATTCTTCTCGATATGCTTCTCTCCAAAACATTGCTTTGAATGTTTTTTTTTTGAAACCTTAAATTTATGATCTGTTTTTGAAGCTCAGCAAAAAATCTCAACTTTATTTACCACCTCACCTCACCTTGCACAACAATATATCGTTTGCATATTCGTAGTTACTGCGCAGTAATAGATTGTCTATTATGTACGCCTTATTATAGGAAATTAACTCGCTCCACAAAATCAAAAATCCTTATAAATAGCATAATTTAAGTCGTGTTAATTTCTTCTCTTTTTTTCCATATTTAACGGCTTCATAATAAATTTATCCATTTTGAGCTATTTTAGAAGTCGCTAGATCTCAAATGTTTACGAGAGAATTTCAATTTTTTTCCCGCATCCTGTCAGAAGCCCTGATCAAGTGGTTGAAACATGTCAAAGTATCTACCCATCTTTTGCCGGTCTCAGCTTTGTAGCTTTTCAGGTGACTAACTTTATTGAAGTAAGTGTATACAAATTATGTAGCAGAAAGCTGGACGTAAATGTCCACAAATCTTACCTAAAATGAGTAGCCAAACAGAATTTAATTCGGTATTTCCAGTATTAGATGAAACGGTACAGATGTAGTACATATCATCGGTAGTGGGGTTCACGTTTCTCAGTAGAAATGTAATGTTTACATTACTTGACATTGAACTGATATTTAGAGCAATGTCTGCAGCTCTAGACGTAAGGTATAGCGTTTCTTTCACGGTGCCAGATTGGACAAACTTTTTAACAACAACTTCTTTCGGCGAATTCACAGTGGTTTCTTTCGCTCTCTCGATCTTGACGCTGAACCACGTCTCGCCGACTTCGGAGAAATTAGCGTTCCAATTTAGATAAGCTGTCCTGCCTTCCATAAAACTAACTGAAGCATCGAAACTTTTCAATACAATCAGACTGTCTGCAAGACAAAACGAAGTTGAACATTTCTAAGCATAAATAAGATAAAGCTTTTTTTCTTCTAAACCGAGGCCTTCATTGAGCTTCCAAAGTGTTGGTTTCCATGAAAAGTTTAATTTACTTATTCTTGTACATTCAAAATACATATCCTTATACACTTGAATTATTATTATCATAATTTTCTATAGCAATACTGAAGCACTAACGACGTCTAACCTTGCAAGCATTTCAAAGCTCTAAAAACTCATGACCTTAAGTTCCAGTAAAGCAACGAGGAAGAACGCTTTTAAAATTTAAGCATAACATAACTTACTTGATGTTTGAAGAATCCCGAGAACAAAAAGATAATGAGCCCAAAACCTCATTTCATTAATCCGGAAAGCCAAATAAAATATATAAAAGGGAGAATGGAACGCCATATCTTGTTAACAAGATAAATAGCCTCTCATCGATATGTTTGTCTGAGTGAGGAAGTAAGCCAGAGCGAGTCACCTGAGCGAGCTTCTTTCATACCCAGACCCTTGGGCCTTCCCTTAACCTTTCCCTCCCCAGGCCCCTCAAAAGCGCGGCTACGCAGGCTAGGCAGATGAAGGCAGATGTGTATCCAAATCATACAACAGAGCTACTCTTAATCACTAATGATTTACTGTAATGCACTAGTCAATAGCCCTCTGAAACTTTTACGTCACGAAAGTCTTGTGCAAGGAATTATGGGATACGCTCGGGGTAAACAAACAAAATGGCGGAGTGTATTGTATAATATTTTGGTCTTAGCAAAAGGGAGCACGTTAAAATTTTGATTGTGTTGGTTTATCTTCGATTTTATTGCACGTAATCTAAGATATGACAGGCGTTCCTTGTAGTTCTTGTTTACGTGCGCGCGCTACACTTTATGGCAGGCGTTCCTTGCTTTAGTCGGGCTAGCGAATTTACTCCGAAAACAGACGAGTTCCTTGCGAGGAGCGGAGCGACGTGTAAAAAGGGAGTCCTATTACACTCGTCATTCCCTTCCTTACACGATCGTAGGCAACCTCGTTCCCAGGGCCCTCTCGGCCGACTCCAAAACAAAATGGTTTGCTACGAGGAACGCCTGTCACAAGATGGATTGCGCGCGCTAGATAGATCAACCAAGAACAATACCTTTCCTTACACAAACAAAATTTTAATGTGCTCCCTTGGTCTTAGTAATCTCTCGTACTCCATCTTTTTCACGTTTTTGCTATTTTTTTATCAAATGGTAAATGTTAACTGTTATGTTACTGGTTGCGTGTCCAATAACCGTTCGTATCAGTATTTAAAGTTTTACAAACTACCCAAAGACAAGGCAAGAAGACGAAGGTGGAAAAAGTTGACACGAAATACGCGAGAGAGAGATTCACAATGGACCTGTCTATGTCGACTACACTTCGAAGGTGGCTGGAATAAAGAATGTTATTCTGATCCTTCAATATTTCCTTGGAGTCCAGAATGGCCTGAAGTTGTGGCAAGTTACAACAACTACGTAACGGAGCGTTTTTCGCTGGCCCAAGGTACAGACCATGGATATGCCAAAGCTCCAAAGCTGATGAAAGTTCCAACAATTTTCAAGAAGTTTGTCCGTCATTCCAACACCTCTAAACGTGGCTTAAAAAGTGTAAGTATTTTGTAGGCATACAGTAAATTCTTTAATTTTGTTCGAGGGTTTCATGGGAATAAACTTTTGAATTTAACATACACCCGGCATAAAATTACTTTTTCAGCTCTAGGAAGTGAAGAAACGTCTACCCTCCCCAACACAGATCAGGAATCAGATCAAACACATTGCCCAGATCTAGAAGAAACTCCGATTGCCTTATCCAACAATGGAGAAGTTGACTTAAGAGATGTAACGTTTAAAGACACGTCCACAACGATGAAGGTGTGTCTATACAATAGACATTCTTATATGAAAATTCAAAAATGTTTCGTTATGCGCGAAAAGCATGAATTTAATAATAGATTCCTTTCTGCACGCACGCACGAGTAGCTTGCCTCGGATTAAGTCGCATTTGTATATAAGTAAGTGACGCTAATTTAAATTCAGTTCGTCGAGTTTCAGAGCAAGGTAACGGGTAAGTCAGATCGCTTAAACTTTATATATATTTTTCTACACAAGTAACGCTTTATTTTGCTTCGCATTTTTTAGATTTCGAACCAACTCGTATATAACTCGCGAAGAGAATTAGTTCTGAAACCGTAGCTTGTAACATTTCGTCAATAAACGAAACATTCGAAATCCGAGCTCACCAAGACGACTGGAACATGGCCGATGACGTTAAGAACCAAAGACGAGCAGCTAAAGGCAAGTTTACCAGAAAATTAAACGAAGTAAAGAAGGCTATCGACRAAGATTGTGGAGTAGAAATAGTCAAGAGAAATTACGACGAATTGGTTGAAACCTGGAAGACCGTTGAGTTAAAGCACGATGTTTATACCACATTCCTGACTGATGAAGAGGTAGAAGCCGGTGACACATGGATTCTGGAATTGCAAGATTTGTTCAGCGACGCTATGAAACGCCAGAATCAATACGAGAAGAAGAAAACGTCTAGCGATAATGAAGCCAAGGAACAAGAAGAAAAGAAGCAAGCGGTTCTTAGAGAAGAAGAGAAATTTCAACGAATGTTAGATCAAGCGTATGTGAGAAGGAGTAGTGCCAAAGCAGTCTTTGGACAAGCTATAAATATTGTGAAATATTCGTCGCTTG